GGTTAATGTTGGACTTGTGGGCTTGGGCAGCATTGGGTTGGGATGTTTTCGTGATGCACATTTTCTTTGCATAAAACTCTCTCATACATGAGTTGCTGTGGATTTGTTTCTCCAAAGTACCTAGACTAATACAAAGGGTTTCTGTCCTACCCCTCAGTAGTGTGCTTTTAAAGGTCGTAAGTTGTCTTGCCGCTCAGAACTAAACTTTGTTTTCAAAGGGTTTCTAGCCATGGAGGCTCAGCTCCCGTCCTGATCGGGACCCTAAGTTCCATTCCCCGCCCCCCACCCCCCCACCCCCGTGCTTGGGACGCTGAGTCCTCACCGTGGGTGGACAGCACCGTCACTTGCCCAGCCTCTGTTGTGCACCAAGGAGCCCTCTCTGGTAGTGTAGTGATTATGAGTTGGATTGCTAACCATTAGGTCAGGAGTTCAAGACCACTGGCTGCTCTTTGGGAGAAAGACAGTCTTGGAAACCCAGCAGGGACAGGGCTATGAACCCGGCTAGCTGGCTCAAGTACCTGGTTTTGGTTCTATTCCTATAATCACCTCTTACAAGAGGCCTCACCCTTGACTGATGGAGGGGAAAGATCCAGATTGGCGAAGGAAGCTGTCCACATGGGTCAGTGACAAAGCCCAAGTTGAGCCCAGTTCTGCCAACGCAGAGTGATCTGACACCTGTGAGCTCTCCATGGTCCAGCACCCTTCACACGGACTCATGCCCGCCACCTCCTGAGACCCTGCGCAGCAGTGTTGGGAGCCAAGCTACTCAGGCTCAACTCCCACTTGCCCCCTTTGTGCCTCTTTCTTAAAATGGGAGTGAACATGAGTCTTCCCAACTAAGGGGAGGCAACAGATTCACACTGTAACATGCGTAGAACCATGCATGGTCCATCCGGACCAACCAACCCCTGCCATTGGGCCGAGTCCGACTCAGGGACCATGGAGGACAGGCTAGAACTGCTCCTGTAGGTTTCCGAGACTCTCACTCTTTCTGGAAGCAGAAAACCTCATCTTTCTCTCTCCAAGCAGCTGTTGGGTGAACTGCTGACCTTGCGGTAAGCAGCTAACATGTAACCCAGTGCGCCACTAGGGCACCCTTGCATGGCCCATGGGACCCACTCCGAATCTTTGGGCACTGTATATGTTTTGTCATGAATCTATCACTGAGTATCCTTGGACACTGTATGCATTTTGGCATGTCTATCAACATTCAAATCTCACCCGAGGCTGGGTTCAGGGGCAGTGTGAACATACTCATGGTGGGGCAGGAATCCCACCCAGGTCTGACCCAAAGCCCCCACTCACTCCCCACATCAAACAACTGTCTGTCGGTGCCGCAGTGAGAGGGTCAGTGGTGGGCGTGTGGAGACAAAGTGACCATTGCGCTTGGGTTCTAGGGAAGGCAGGTGGGGAGCATTCCCCCACACCCCCTGGGGAGGGGTGGACCCCTTGGAAACCACTCTTACCTTGACTGACTCGGGACTGGTGACGATGACCGAGGTTTTGTGGAAGACATTGACCCGCACCACCGGGCCATACTTCTTGGTCCTGGAACCAGAGTGACCCACAGGAGGTGGTCAGCACCCCAGGCGGGGACTGGACGCGACCCATCCCAGGAGGTGCTTAGCTCAGGTCACTAGGAGTTCCGATCGGGGCCCAGGAAGCCCAAGGACGAGGTTCTGCCCTATTGCTGAGTCAGGGCTGGGTCACAATCGCCACGGGGCTCAGTGTCCACATCCATAAGGCGGGACTGCCTCATCCCTCCTGACAGACTCCAATCAAAAGGAGGAAAGTGCTACCCAAACAATGACTGCTACCTCCTCTCTCTCTCTCTCTCTCTCACACACACACACACCCTTCCCGGTGTACACATGAGGCCACAGACTCTCAGAACATCGAGTGACTGCGCTGATGACACTTGTGGCAAAGTCAGTGTGGCCGGGGTGGGGGGTGGGGG